CCATATCTCACGTCTTCAAAAATAGTGGTAATCTGCATTGCGCAGTATAATCATTATACAGCGCACTGCAGAATACCACCAGCTATAGAGGACTACAAATCCCAGCAATAATACATTATAGTATAATGTACTATTGCTACATTCCTCTATAGCTGCTGGTATTCTGTACTGCGCCGCTGTATAATGTACTATATTGCACACTACACTTTTTTTACTTCCACCGCGCCAAGCTTGCTCCCGTGATGGACTACAATCTCAATAGAAACTAGTAGTCCATTACTGGAGCCTTTTTTTTTTTTATCCGATTAATCGAACTTAATAATCGGCTAACTAATCGATTATGAAAATAATCGTTAGCTGCAGCCCTAAAAAAAAGCTCAGCATGCAAGTGCTTGGATGCACTAAAAATAAATCATATGCACTCATCACTGGAAATGTTACAGAACAATATTTTAGGTTAGACTAATGAGTAATTTCATGCAGCTAATAATTTTTTAGGTTTGCCAGCTAGGAATACATTATAAGTACACATCTATTTTAGTGGGGGGAAAAAGTAGGCTTTGTACATTATGTGGATGAAAATGTATTGTAGCTTTTTGCAGGAATTCGAGCATCAAGCTCTCCTGCATGGGAGACGCAGGGAGTTAGTGAATTTATCAAGCACAGCCCTTTTCATAGATTATCTATTATTTCATTATTTTCCCTAAATTTGTTTTTGACAGATTTGTACTTTAATGGCACATGTAATGAATTACTGTGAAATACAGTTATGAAAGGACACTGCTTGTCATTTTTAGTAGAGGGGCTACAGAATTTACCTTCAAAGAGACCTGAGCTTTCCTCTTTCCAGTGAATCCCTAATTTTGCTTCAGAGCTCTCGATTCTACGGAAGTATGCTGATCCTTTTACATATTATCAGTGGGCGTCGTTATGATGTCCAGAAATAGATTAGAATTACACAATTTTACTTTTTTTTTTTTTTTTAGAATTAGAAATCAAAATGCACACTGTATTAAAGATGATAATTCTGTTTAAATATTTCAGAGTGCACGCTTTCAGGTGTAAAAAGTTAAGGCATTTTTAATGTTCTGGAGTACAAAAATCAAAAAATGTGTTCTGCTTCATGCAAATGTCTAATCTAATTTTCCATTGTTGACAAAGAAGGGTAATGCCACTGTCGTGTTTCTAACAAAATTCACTGATGCACTATGCCATTTAACTTGCCTCTCCCCCACCACCACCACCTTGTCTTGCCTAATTTAGGAGAAGTGAGAGAGGGTCACCTGTTTTGCAAAGTTTGCCTTTTAGGTGTGCAATAAATCAAGCAAACAAGAATGTATCATTACACGAATTAACCTGCTAGGGATAGAAAGCATAAATGAATGGAAGTACAAAATAATGGGAATTCTTAGGAGAAGATGATACACTTTTTATGGCCAATAGTAAATCTAAGATTAAGTTCAGGAGAAGTGAAGGATATTGTTATGGCTATAGCATAAGAAAATATATTTTATTAAAGTGGGCCAACTTTGTTGCAACAATCTGGGGAAGGCCTTTTTCTGTTCCTGTTTTGGTGTGGAGGAACTCCACGAAACCCTGATCTCAACCTTATTGAATCCCTTTTGGAATAATTAGGAATGCTGATTTTTTTTTTTTTGTTACCACTATCAGTACTACTATATAGAAGACTCAGTAACTTGCAGCAGTGCAAAGTATGAGTATTCCCAAACAGATTTGTATTTGTTGTAGTGTTGGTGCTCTCCTTGAATTTTCGATCAATACTGTCACTGGCAAATTCTTGCGTGTAGCAAGTTTACATGTGTGTCATTGACTTTAGACAGAGACATAGTTGGCGGAAGGGGCATTTGTGGTGGTAGAGTAATTTATGTTTGATCCGGGTGATGAAAACCGCACCCCAGAGTGTCTGGCATTGGTGCCTGGTTTATAGAAATCGTGTACTATTCTACTAGATAATGACATCACTATCAATTGCAATGTGGACAAGTGGGGGCATCCTTAAAAATTGTAATAGAGTTTAAATAACAACAATCCTGTCCAAATGATAAGTATTTTAACCGTGATATTGTGAGGTGTTGTGCCCCCCTGTTCACTAAATTCCTGGAAGGGAAATGTTTCTATATAGTTTGTCGCTTCTATATGCAACTAGTTTTTCTAGTCAAAATCTTTGATTTGCTTCATTCATATGCTTCTACATCATAATGGGCTATACAGGACTGCTGGCGTTTTGCATATGATTTTCTTTTAACAGACGGCCCTGACGTGACCCCATCAAAACAATTGCTTAAGGTTAGCATGTAATGAACAAATAGTGTCACTTGTACTGAGAGTGTTAGGAGATTTCAGCTGTTAGGCCAACTAAATCCAAGTAGCAGATCATTTCAGTGGGGTTTTGACTGTACAATATCCTTCTGTGTTTAATGAAAAGTCTGGACGAGGAATATAATAATCATCTTTGTGTCGTTGCTATTCACTAGCTGGAGTGGGAGCAATTAAAGATGAGAAAACTGACTGCTGCTCAGACGAGAATTATATAATGATGTGCTTTCCCCTAACTCGTGCCATTGTCCTATTAATCACTGAAATAAGTGTATAAATATTTGTCCTCCGTCTATTATTATATCATGCTATCTAGTTGCAAGACTATTCATCCATCCTTTCAGTGAAAATTTAATGTGCCATATTTAGATGATTTGGCATTATGTGCGGTGGGCAGTTTATCAGTCAAATAAAAGATGTATGGATTTGCTAAGCTCACATTACATTCTATTTAAATATAGATTACATTGTTCTTTGTCTTTTGGAATGGCTGTTAAAAAAGAAGTTAACAAACATTATCTTCTTTTAAGAGAAATAATGTTGGGTCACAAATGTAATGCTTTAGGTTTGATAAGAATTATGTGGTAATCTTAGTTGCAAAAGTAAATAGGATTGTTATGGAAATTCTAGTTCTTCAGGGCTTGTTAGTCATCAGGTAACCTAGTGAATGTTTTTTTTTTTTTTTTTCCCCTTGTGATGCAGGTAAATTCAACATGTAGGTTTAAAAACCAGACAGTGCATGCACTGTAAACGCCTACTATATAAAAATAGAGTGCATAATCTTAGTACAAGATGATAAACAGACCGCCCTTTTGGTTCTTCTCTTATGAAAAATAAAAATCCCCATCTAAATGCTCAAATGTCTAAAAGCACTGACTTGTCCTTTTAAGACATACGGTTCCAAAAAGACCAAATTGATATTTTAATAAAGCGTGCTTGGGAATCTACATTCAATTATTTTGAAAGTCCATTTAGGCTACTACATATCAGTAAGAATCTAGAATACTGGATGTCACAGATAAAGGGACACTTGAAAGCTGGTAGACCTGGTGAACAGATCCTGAAATCCTTATTACTCAATAATACTGTGTGAGTCGCTGTCTATGCTAAATTATTGATACTATTCACCAGTAGCCTCATATACAAGAGTATATGAGAAAAGGGCCTTTCCTAATTGAGAAACAAATGGGTTCTTTTAGATTTGTTTTTTTTGTAGGGGTCCTGCTGCAAAAAGTAGCAAGACAACAGGCCCTGCCAAAAGAGAGGGTAAAGTAGGTGTTATTTTAACCTCAATAAGACCCAATAAATCCTTTGGCCCAGTTAGCATTTTGTTAGGGTTTTTTACAGTGGTAAACAGTCACCTCCAACCAATTTATTCTGAGTCTGATAACAAGTAAACAGGTTGGAGCATGATCTCTGCCCTTTTTTTTTCATGGCAAAGCTATCAGTCTCATTAAATAGTCTTACCCTCCTTTTGTCAGCAGTATTACCTCCAATAATAAAGAAATCGTCTTTCATTTCATAGATGTTAGAAAGTATGTATTGGCTTGTTTGGAAAGCAAGAGCCTTAGGAGGTGTGATTCAATTTTATTATGGCTTCTGGTGCAAGAAAAGGCCATCAAGCTTCAAAAAAATCACCAGTGGAATCTAGCTGGCAATTTAAGAGGCTTACAAGATTATGAAAGTAAAATCTTCATTATCCCTACAGGCACACTATACTTGAGCTTTGACAACTTCCAGAGCTGAACAAGTTTGTGTCATTCCAGAACGAATTTACAAAGTGGCTGCATAGGCAAGCTACTCAGTGTTTATTTGCTAGTATCTACGGGCCTTCTTCTATAATTGATAGTACAGTAAAAAGGTCCTTCAAGCTGTTGTTGCCCCTAATCTTGTAGTTTTTTTCATTCATTTTCTCTGGAAGTTGATTGGGATAATAAAAATATTGACTTATAAGTGAGACTCTTTCCAGGAGCCTTCCAGCATAGTAGAGTCAGGTCCAGTTTCCTTTTATAGATCATGCTGTTTTTTTTTTTTTCTATTAGTCATGCTCCGGCAGTTTTTTGCAATTATTACCTGGTTTCTATGAGACTCCTCCCTTATGCATTTTGGGGAAGTTTGTGCTTCCTTTTCCAATGGGTGGAGCCACATTATGCGCTGTCCTGAAAGACCGCAGACAACAGTTGCTGGTAAATTTAACTCAAAAGGTTATTCACAAAAGGGTGTAGAGCTTGGAGAAGGCAAGAGAAGTGATTCACAAAAGGGTGAAGAGCTTGGAGAAGGCAGGAGAAGTGAACAATCTAGGACAACATGGCTGATTTGGAAAAATTCTCAAATTCAGTTCACTTTTCAGTGCAGCTATTATGTCCTAGATTGTTCACTTCTCCTGCCTTCTCAACTCTTCACCATTTTGTGAATAACTCTGTCAATGTTTAACAAAAGCAATGTTCAAAGCAATGTTCAAAGCAATGCCTGTATCCAAATCCTTACAGTACAGATGCCCAGTTAGTCATATAGGCATATAGGTGAAAACTAAGCTTGTGATGCACAATTTTGTTTATAAAAGATATATTTTTAAAGTTGCTTTAACCATTTTATTTATTTATTTTGCAGATGATTACCACTTGTCTCTTGATCCATCTGTAACAGAGCCTCCAAGCCCTCGAACAGTAGAGGCAGATCAGCACAGGACAGACAGACATTTCCGCTACTGTGGAATTAAAAACATGGAGATGTCAGACAGTGACAGACCTGTCAGCTTTGGTTCAACTTCCTCATCGGCCTCTTCCCGGGACAGTCACTGTTCATTTGGAAGTCGCATGACCTTAGCATCAAACAGTCACTTGGGTTTGTTTCACCAGGATAAGGAAGCTGGGGCTATAAAACTAGAACTAATTCCTTCCCAGCTGCTGTCAAGTGATGACCTTCGGATAAACTGCAGCAGGGAACCGTCTCATGAAAGTCCAAGGGAAAAATCTTCTGATGAGCGACGGACTATGCCATGGAAAGAGTCCAAAGGTTGTGTCAAAAACTGTTCAAAATCTGAAGGGGTAGAACCAACAAGTCCAAAGCTTATGTATGTTGACAGAGTCGTACAAGAAATTCTTCAGACTGAAAGGACTTATGTGCAAGACTTGAAAAGCATTGTTGAGGTAAGACAGTATCTCACATACTATTATGCATAAAATAATGTGAAAACTGACTAAAAAAAGCACACTATCAAATGGCATTGTGAATTCATGTTTGCTGATAATGACAGATATTTGCCTGTTAAACAGGCTAAATGAAATGATCAGTCAAAATGTAATCAAAGCGGAATAAGCTGGAGGGATCTTAAAGCTAAGCTTCAGGCAAGCCGCTAAATTCACATATGAAATACATATATGGGAGCTGTTTAATCTGCCAAAGGATTTGTATTTCTCTCTATCCATTCCTGAGATTTACACAGCTACTCTGCCCAGCACAGTCCTGTCTGGCAGGTTAGGAGACCTGATCTGTCTTTGCTGCAGTTTTACTTACTGGTCTCTTTCAAACCCCCAACTTGTGACTAAACTGTAAAAAGAGAAGCAGCATACTGATTAGCTCATCTTGCCAGTTGCTCTCTCCTCCTATCGGCATGCTCCTTGTATTGCAAAACACCCGATTGCCACATTATTACACAGCGGCATTTATTTCTCATTTATTTGTCTTGTATATCTGCCTGGAGTTCATCTTTTTTTTAAAAATGTATGTTTATTAATCTCTTTTGACTTCTGTTGCATACACATAATGAAGACAAACATTGTCTGTATGGTTTATGAGAAACAAAGCAAATTAATAATAATTAATACTACCCGTTGCAGATGACTGAAAGTTTCAACTGCTAGTCTCAAGCCTGTATTGCAGAAATACGAAATGAGAAACTGACTGGGTTGCTAACTTTCAAGGAAGCCACTTTTTTTGCTCAGATTTTCATAAATGAGCCCCTGTATTAGAAGCTGGAAACAATCCTGAGACTGTTCAAGTGGATTAATCCTTATTGATGTAACTGGTATGTAGTGAATGAATAGATGCTTTTACTTGGTGTAACCACCATGGACATAAAGTCAATATTTGAGCCAGTCCTGGGTCCACAAAGCTGGATGAAGTTGTTGCTACTCCAGTTCTCTGAGGAGTATGGGCCTTCAAGTTGCTTATTATCATTGTGTGTCATCAGGACATTCACACACCGATATGTAGGGCATCTTAAAATAGTTGATGACAATGTCATGGATTTAGAGATGAGGTCATGTGAGCTCAGAGGTTTATGCACATTGCTAGCAGCACTCTCTTCAATATTGCTTCCAACCACAAAATTGCTGCAACTGCTTTATGAAAAAATTTGGATTGAAAGTGACATTAAAGTCACATTCCTACAACCCCCCCCCCCCCCGCCTGTTTTAGGAGTTTCTGTTTAATTTATCGCTTG